GGGTACTTGGAGAGAAGTCTGCACCAGGTAGAGGAGGAGCATGAAGGGGGAGGTGTAAGTGCCTCTTAAGGAAGAAAAGGAGGTGATGCTTGCCAGACAGCAGCCCACGATAGACGTGTTTCCTCCCCTGAAGCTTCAGCTTCCTTTCCTTCTCCCTCTGACCCACCTCCACGCACCTCCCCTCCCGCCTGCCACTCTCCTCACCGCCTTCTTCTTGAGCATAATGTCCAGTCTCCAGTCATCTGAATGGGCCGGACGCTTCAGGTAAATCTCAGGACTCAACCTGGGATTCAGGGCAGGGGGTGGAGGGCGAGCAGCCAGCCCCTTCTTCCCTGCCCCTCCCTCCTCTGGCCTGTAAGCTGATCCGGGGCAGGCCCTATCCTGCCCCTTCCTGCCTGAGCTTTTCCCCTACTCACCACCAGTCTGTGATGAAAATCTCCTCTTGAGCTCCTCCGATGGCGTCTGCCACAGCGGCAAAGTAACCCGCCCCGTTCACAAACCTGGAGGGAGGGGAAGGTCAAGCCAAGGAGGTCAGAATCAGAAGCCAGAAAGCTCTGGATGGAGAGTGAAGACCCGAGGACAGTCATGGATCAGAGGTGACGGCAGGGTCAAAGATCAGGAGTGATCGGAGAAATCAGACGGTGTCAGACGTATGAAAGGGGGACAAATTTGCCAGTTTAAGCTAAGTAAAATTAAAAATTACAGAGGACACAAAAACTAAAGAAGATGACTAAAGGTGGGGAACGTTAACGCATCCTACATAAAGAGTTCCAGCGAATCAGTAAGAAAAAGACACACAGGCCAACGGCGAAATGAACAAAGATTAAGAACTGACAGTTCACAGAGGAGATTAAAACGGTCAACCGTAGGAAAAGATGTTTAATCTCAATAGTAAAGAAGGAAATTGATATCAAAATGGAATAACATGTCTTTAATCCACTAAATTGGCAAAAATAAAGATCACTGGCAATGTTCAATATTAGCATGCAGGAGAATGAGAATCCTCATAGACTATGGGAATATACTTCGGTTATAGCCTTTTTATTTTTATTTTTTTAACATTCATTTATGTTTGAGAGACAGAGTGTGAGTCGGGGAGGGGCAGAGAGCGAGGGAGACACAGAATTCGAAGCAGGCTCCAGGCTCTAGCTGTCAGCACAGAGCCCGACGCGGGGCTCGAACCCACGGACCGTGAGATCATGACCTGAGCCGAAGTCGGACGCCTAACTGACTAAGCCACCCAGGCGCCCTGGTTATAGCTTATTTAGAAGACAGTTTGGCAGTATCCGAATATCAGACACACATACTGTTTAATACCATTAAATGCACATAGTAATTCTATTTCTAGGGATGCATCCTATTAAATGCTTTGCTTAGGCAAAGACTGTGTTCAGTGCAACATCGCTTGAAATGAGAATTTGGGGCACCTGGGTGGCTCAGTCGGTTCAGCGTCCAACTCCTAATCTCAGCTCAGGTCTTGATCTCAGGGTTGTGAGTTCAAGCCCCATGGCGTGCTCTGCACTGGGTGTGAAACCTACTTTAAATAAAATAATAAAATAAAATAAAATAAAATAAAATAAAATAAAATAAAATAAAA